CTAATAATCATGATCACGTTTCTATTATAAACAGCAAGAAAAACATGCAAATCTAACATTTGTTTTAGATCTAACTATAAAAATCTAATCTTTTTCACATTAGATTAAGATCTAAGCATGTAAACACAAATTAAACTTCTAAGCTAGTTATTTAACTATGAGGATGGGTTTGGATGCAAGTGATCTTGCCTTTGCACGTGAACAAGCCTCTGAAATGTTTAGCAAATGATCTCTCGATGCCAAACATCACAATTCATCGCCCTTCCTTTAACAAACACCTCGAGATCTCTCCAAAAACTCACAATAAGAGTTAGGGTTTGAGGAGGAAGGTTGCTGATGTTAATCTCACGTGAAAGAGGGTTAAAAGAGCTTTAAAACGAGTATATATACATAGGGTAACAACTGGGTTTGGTATAAAAAAAACCCAACCCAAAACAAACCTGGCAGAAACAGATTCGCCCAGCGGTCGACCGCTGCGGTCGACTGCGCAGGTTTCTGGGCCGTGCTCAGACTGGGGTTTGGTAAAAATGCTATAACTTTCTCATCCGATCTCGGAATGAGGTGATCTAAGATTTATTGGAAAGCTATTGAAGAGACCTACAACTTTGGTCTTTTACACTTTTCAGATTCTGATTATATTGATGTGTAAAACATAAAAACTCTCAACTGGTCCTTATTCCCAGATTTTCACTCTTTTGGCCTTTGTGCATGCTTTGTGCATTTGCACTCATATTTACACAAATATACATTAAATTGATCTCAAATCAATTCTTATCATACTAAAACATCAAAATATATTTTTTTTTATCATATAACATATTTATCATTATTTATCACAAAATATTCAAATTTACGGGGTTTTACAGTAGTTGCATCTTCAACATCAAGAGCAAGTAATACTAGGTTATGATATATGAGACTTAGTCATATAAGTGAGTGTGGATTGGCCGAGTTGAGCAAGAATGGTCTTTTATATGGAAAGTGTACATGAAAATTTGGGTTCTGTGAGCATTGCATCTTCAGAAATTAGAAAAGAGTCAGCTTCAGTAAGGCAGTACATCAAACTAAAGATACTTTAGATTATATCCATTCAGATTTCTAGGTACGTTTTCAAGTTGTGTTGAAGAGTGGTTGTTCAAGGTATTTGTTGACCTTAATTGATGACTACTCCAGGTAGGCTTGGGTCTACTTTTTGAGATATAAAAATAAGATATTTGTGACATTCAAGTAGTGAAAATCTTTGCTTGAGAAGTAGACTAGGAGGATAATTAAGAGGCTTAGAATTGGTAATTACCTTGAGTTTTATAGAGAATAATTTAATAAATTATGCAAAAATGTGGAAATCGTTAGACATCGCACAGTCACTCGCACACCATAATAGAATGGAGTAGCAGAACGTATGAACAAAACCATCTTAGAGAAATTTTTTTGTATGTTGTTCAATGCCGATTTAAACAAGGAATATTGGGCGAAAACGGTGAATAAGGTTTGTTACTTAGTGAATTAGTCGCCATTTACTACTATCGGTTATAACACTCCAGAGGAGATTTGGTTTGGTAAGCCTGCGGATTATTCCAATCTAAAAATATTTGACTTCCCTACATAAGTGCATGTCAGTCAAGGAAAACTTGAGCCTCAAATTAAGAAGTGCATATTTGTAGGTTAAGGGTTTTAGGTTGTGTTGTCCTGATCTGAAGTCTATTAAGATAATTATTAGCCGCGATGTCACTTTTGATGAGTCTGTTATGTTCCACAAAAAACAGTCACCAGTTTTAGTTGATAATAAGATGCACACTACAGGACAGAAGATGGAGTTAGAAATTTGTGATTTAGCTCATCACCATGATAAGACTACGAGAGTTTAGCAGCCAGATCTTGTTCAAGTAGATGAAGCACCTCAGCAGCTGTAGGAAGAGCGAAATACACTATTACTAGAGATCGGTCTAGACTAGATATTTGACCAGTGCGAAGACATGAAGATACAATAGCTTATATATTGTCAGTTGATAGTTTTATGACTTTTAGCTATTCTGGAACTACTTTATGTTATGATTTTGCTAAGTGCTATGGTCGTCATGCGGACAATTCAGTCGATTTGTTGAGAAGGCCTCTTTCAGTTGGCAAGTTCAAGCCAGACTTAGACTTGATCGATATGTGCTGTACTTAGATGTCCTAGGGACTATTGGAGAAGGTGGAGTAAGTTAGCTAATTTGGCTTGAAGAATTTCGACATATTTGAGTCAATGTGGAGATTTATAAGTGTGACTCAAATATGGACCTAAATAAAGAGTTTTCTCTATTGGATAGATTTGAGTGATAGGATTCCTTTTTGATTAGGAATAAGTTGGTCATCAATATAATCTTATTGTGCATAGGACTTGCAGGTTGGTGATAAGAAAAGACACAAGTAAACTCCTATTAAGACTCTAATGGCAGTGAAAATATAAATCTTGGGCTTGGGCTCTTATTAAGATTTAGAACATGCGGACTTATATTCATGTTGACCTTTTTTTTATGATGTTTTAATAAACAATTTACAACTAATATTGTTTGTCTAGTGTTTGTGTTTTTGTATTTATTCTAGACAAACAATCATTTAGAGGTTGTATGGACTAGAGCTTTCACGATCATATCCATTGGAGGATGGAAGGAATAGTGGAATGAAGTCAATACATTCAAGTTAAAGATTCAAGATCAAGTTTCATCCACAATCAAGAAGAGCTTATTGAAGACCTATAGCTTTGGTAAATTAGTTTAGGGTTTATATTATGTGTGTTGATACTCTAAGCTCAATATCATATACACACACATTTTATTGGTTTCTATGTGTATACACATACACACACACACACACATTTTGGTTTTTGGTTTTACCCACAAACAAAGTTTTTACAAATAAATTCCAAAAAATGTTTATGCATGTTTGTTTTCTATGTGGATAAGTTGATTTGGTTTAGCTTCATAGATATGAAACAATAGTTATATTCATATACATATTCTTTTGTTTCATATTCTATTATATTTAGAAATATATTGTGCTTTTGTTTGTATACTTAAGAACAATAGTTTATACCTTTTATCAAGTCTATCAAGCCATACAAGAGTTTTTAAAACTTTGGTTTATGTCAAAACATTAAATTTTAAATATATCACATTTTCATGTTTTGGACACTATTACAAAATGAAGAGATTTCTCATTTGGGAGATGCAATTTGAAATTGTTTTTGTAACATGTTCATTATCATGTTTACAAGCATTCCCCAAAGTTTTACATTTTCCTGAATTTATTTGCTATTTTTAAAAAAAAGTTTGAAATTCATTTTCACTATTTATAATTAGCTGAAAACCTGTTATCAGTCGACTGATGAAAATGCCTAGAATTGCTAAAAAGTTTCTATTTTTGTAACTGATAAACTATCAGTCGACTAATGAACTCGTCAGTCGACTGAAGACATAAGTCGACCGATGAGCTGCTAGTTGCCTATAACGGTCAGCTCATCAGTCGACTGATGAATAATATCAGTCGACTGACGGCCTCTAACGGCTAGTTTTCTAGTTTCCGTTATTTTGTCTTTTGCTTGGTTTTTCTTGATTTTTGGGGTTTGTATTGTGAACCTATATATACCCCTTGTCCCCTAACTTCTGAACTAACCAAGAGAATGTTTTAAACAAGTTTAAGAGAGTTTTACAAGGGTTTTAAAGTTTATTTAAGTGTGTTTAAAAAGCTTTTAAGCATTTTCAAGTTTTGATTTGTGAAGAAATTTTCACAAGAGCTTGAAGAGATCATCCTTTGGTATTTGAGCATTCAACTCTTCTCCCTCTCTCTCTCTTGTCATCATAGAGAAGTTTTTATAAACTCATTCTAGCTATTTATTGTTTTAATTATAATTTCCATAAGCTAAATTTATATTGAGTTTAGTTTGTTTTGATTATACTCTTTGTTCACATACAACCTATTGAGCTTATTGTATTTGCATACATAGTGTAATTTAGGGTTGTGGGATTGTGACATTGAGAGTGAGCTTTCATTGTGTTCCCATCCATATTAGAGAACAAATTATTGTATAGAGCTTTCATTGTGAGGATACACTTTGTAATACACTTATACACCGAGGGGAGTGTGTGGTGAGAGACGGGGTCAACCCAAGAGGAGTGACGTTAGTAGTAAAGCCTAAGGAGAGGTTATAAATCCGAGCACTTGAGAGAGACACGGGCTAGAGACCAACACTTAGAGGGTGTAGAGTGGGATTGTAAGAGTGTTGATTGTATAGTTTTCGGTGAGCTAGAAAACCAAGTGTGAGGTGTAAACGTTTTCGGGTGAGCGTTAAAAACCCAATGTGATAGTGGATTTTCCCCCAGGAGTGGGGAGCAGAGACGTAGGACGGAAGGTCCGAACTCCGTGATAATTTCTTGTGTGTTTGAGTTTGGCTTGTGCACTTATATTTTGTTTATCTCTATCATCATTCTCTCATTGTCTAATTTATCCACTATATTGTTTGTATTTGTTTATAGTTTATTTACCATTGTTTGTATATCCTTGCATTTATCACTACAAGAAATACAGTATTTAACAACCAAAATTAGTAAAGGGATTAGTTGACCGTCGTTAATGTGCATATAATAACGACGGGTTTTTAAAGCCTTCGTCGAGTGATTACAAATATTATAGGAATGATGTGAGATTGGTAACGGTTTTCTAGTCCCTTTATTAATTTGATCCTAATACCATCGTTATTGGGTCTCATTAAAGATGAAGGGTCTATTACCTTCATTAATCATAACTCCTAATGATAATAGGAATAGTAATCAAAATTAATATAAATAACCCGAAACCCAAATCACCATCTAACCCCCGTTTTTGCCTATTCACACAATAGAGGGAACTTTCCCCCCGTTTATTTTCACGAAAATCAAAAGAAAAAAAACCAACGCAATCCCCCTAACCCTATCCTCTCTCTCTCATCAAAAAACCCCAAACCCACGTGCTCTTTCTCTCCCCCCCAACTCTGAACTCGCCGCCGTCGTCGGCGGTCACTAGCCGCCGTCGGAGGTCACCGCCGCCGTCGAGCCCTGTTGTTCGCCGCCGCCGTCGATCCCACAGTTTACCGCCTAGTGCCCCTCAAAAAACCCTAGTTCTTCCTCCCCAAATCTGACCTCGCCACCTCTCATGCTCCTCATTTTCGCTGGACGTCTGACTTGTAAGTCCTCTACCTCAAAACCCTAACCCTAATTTGGGTATTTTCAGATGTATTCTGCTTAGGCATTTGATTCCAAAAGCCACCTTGTTTCTAAGCTCAGTTCAATGGTTCACCTTAGCCTCTCAGTTCATCCTTGTGATTCTGCGGTTTTACATCTGTTTCCTCCTAAAATTAGTAGTACATACGATGCTTGGTAGACTTCGAAGGAGAATTGGAAGATATAGTTAGCAGGTGAAAGACATTATAGTTATATGTTTTGTACTCTTTGCATTAGTGAACAATTGCATTAGCAAAGTACTGCAGGATTTTTTTGTGGATAATTCGTTGGTATTTGAACAGTGGTAGAATTTGGGGCAAACCTGCAAAGATGGTTAATTTGTGGATATATAGTAAATAACCCTATTTTACTTTTTTGAACTTTTATTTTTGAAATATGGTTATGTACAGAAATTCTTTCCAAAAAAACACCTAGGAAGCTAACAAAAAGTACTTTCTTGTCGCATATTGCAGTCATCTTCATTAGATTAATTTCTTTTAGTTTGCTTTAGAACTTATAGCATATATTGAGCTTTGTGTAGGGCACCAGAAGACAATCGCATTGATAAGGAGCTGCTAGCGAGGCTCAACAATGCAAAGGTAATTGATCATTTGCATCTTCATGTGAATTTTGATTTTAATGGCTTATTCTGATGGAGGGTTTCTTGGTAGAATGAAAACAGTTTCGGGAGGAAGCCTAAGGACGAGAGAAAATGTAAGTGTGAACATAATTGTTTGTATTTGTACATGTCTATGATATTGTTTATATTTGCTATGTTTAGGAACAAAATTATTTGACGAATTAATAACCTATGCCCATCCTTTTTTTTGAAGCCATGAAGCTAATATTATAAATTGCAACTCATTAGGGCGTCTCTAACCGGTTGTCAAGCAGTAAAACATGTACAAGTTTTGGTGATGATTTGTATGAATTTGTTCCACTTGAAATGTCACATTTGTGTGGTTCTATGCAGAGTAACATGTGCTTGTTTCTTTGATGAATTATGTGTTCTACTATAATACATTTTTTGGCACCAAAACCCTGATTCTCAAACATATAAATGATATAGTTTGTCTTAATTTCATATCCACTTCTCTCATCATATTCTATTAGTGATCTTTTATTGATTATCATTGAATAGCCATGAAACTGATGGGGGAAATGTTGGAGAAATAGGAAACATAAAGTTTTATCATCTATTCAATGACTATACAACTATCAGTGCTATGATCAGAATGAGTGGGTTGAAATGAGAATTTTGAGATGGATGCAATTCTTGATATTACTTTTCTCATAACTGGATGAAGCCTTTAGCTGTCCAAATAGTTCTGCAATAATATATTCTTGATAGACAGTTCCTTTGTTGATTCTGTTGTAATTGTTTTCTCTTGTAATATATTCCTTTTATTCTCTTGTAATTGTTTTCTCTTCTTTCTACAGATGATTATGTTATGTCAATACCAACAGCAAAAGAATATGTTGATCCATGGGTGAATGAGTGTAGAACCTTACCACTTTCTTTTCATATACCCTTTCAAAATGTGCGAGCTCTGGTTCCAGATCTTGCAAAGCTATACTCCTTTCATATGTGTTTTTTTAACTCCTTTTTTTCTTGTAATGTCATCACTACAAACTTTCAAATGTTTTGATTTGGGTCTTCATTTGTTGATTTTCTTCATAATTGGGTGAACCAAGAGAAACCCATGTTCTCATTTTTCCAGTTAGTTTTGATTTGGTGGATGCCGTGAATATACTGGTGCAACATATTTCGCTGCTATATCCGTCCTAAAAATTGTTAGTAATGCCCCTTCTGTAACATTTCATTATTCTCCATGTTTGTTTTAGTACGTTCATACTTAAAAGATATTCATATCTTGGTCTATGTTGAATTTTAAGAATTCTGCCTTTCTTGCACAGGGTGCAGATTTATCACATGTTTTCTGTAGAAAAGATGCTTCACCGGTAATAAAAGGCTACAGCCCTGAGCTGATTAAAGGAAATTCTGACCTTATCAGTGATGGTGTTACATGTTTGCATTCTGTCCTAAACATGTATTAGTTGTTCTACAGTTAATAAAGTGATAAAAGAAAATTCTTTGTGATAGTTTCCAATGTCTTATATTTCAGACTGTTGCTGACCCATGTGCTATTTGTTCTACAGTTAATAAAGTGAGCAATTTTCACTTTGCCGCTGGAAAATCTTTGCATCACAATCAAGATCTTATTTCTGATTTGTTGGACGTTCAGCTAGGAAACCATAATGTGAGTAGTACACAGCCTTTTGTTGTGTTTTCATTCTTTCATTAGTAATGCCACTGGCATTTCAATTGATATTTGGTTATGGCATTCAATTTACTCTTCATAAACCAGATAACCCACAAAATAAACAAGCTATCCTTTAGAGAAGAGTTTCCAGGTGTCGCCAAACCACTTGATGGGTAAGTATGAGATGTTTGAGCTTGGGAAGCAATAAGAAAGCATATTTTCGTTATTGCCTTTGATTGTAAGTTCACATCACATATTTTCTAACATTACCTGGTTTTGGAAAAATTCCAGAGCAAAATGGACACATCATACATCGTCAGGGATTTACCAGTACTTTATCAAAGTGAGCACATAATGATTTTTCCTCACTGATATGAAATTTAGAACATTTATCGTTGGCCCTTAATCTTTATGATATTTAGAACAATTTAGAAGTATTTGTGATAAACTTAATTTTTATACTCAGGTGGTCCCAACAGTCTACACTGACTTGACACGAAACAAAATTCAGTCGAATCAGGTAATTATCTTGATATTAATTTTTCTTGGTACTATTTAGGAGAACTGCAGTCTTAACATTTTTCTTGATATTAATATTTCTTAATTATGTGATTTTTTTAAAATTTTCAGACTATCCATGCAAGATTAGGAAAGGGGTAGCTCGAGTCTTCTTTTGACGATGATTAGAGATGAAAGAATGTGTCTTCCCCAAACTTTTATTTTAATTTGTTTTAGATAGTTTCATGTATTTTTCTTTGGAACAATTAGGATATTAACTCTTGTTATTAGTATTGAATATATGAGGATGGTGGAAATGTATTTATTGATGTTATTAATGAATAGAATTTTTATTTTCCCTCTTATTCATTATTGGGTATTTTAAATATATTTTTGTTGTGAATCTTCGTGTCAGATTGAGAATAATATGATAGTTGCCTATGAATGGAAAAATTATTATTAATGTATATTAGAAATTAATATGATAGTTGCCTATGAATGGAAAAATTATTATTAATGTATATTAGAAATTTGTAGTCTACAATGATGGTTTTATAAACCGTATTTTGTTCATCAACGAAGGAAAAGCACCGTCGTTGATGGGTGACTAATTACCCATTATGAGGATTTTTATGACGGTGTCCAACCGTCATAAATTAGTCTTCAACGATGGGAAAATATCCCTGTAACTAATGGTAACGACGGGGAAATATCCCCGTAACTAATGGTAACGACGGGAAAATATCTCGTCACTGATGGTAACGACGGGAAAATATCCCCGTCACTGATGGTAACGACGGTGATAATTACCGTCGTAAATATTAATGACGGTAATATGTTCCGTCGTTATAGACTCTATAACGACGGGTAGTATATACCTTCGTGACCCTTTAGCGAAGAGGGCTTCAACGACGGGTGACGAAGGGATTTTTCTCCGTCGTTAGCATACAATAACGAAGGTTTTCAGCTCTTTAACGAAGGAAAATCCCTTCGTTAAAGATGTAATTTCTTGTAGTGTATATCTTGTTGCATATCTAATTTGCTAGGATATTTGTTAATTGACGTTAAATCAGATTAGATTAGCATAAACCCTATTTAACCCCCCCTAGGGTTCTTTCCTAGTGGCATTAGGGTCTAACAATTCCCACTAGAACTCTACTCCGTAGGTAGCAAGGAGTTGGTATCTTCAAGCCTACATATGTACAGTCTTTCAAGTCAATTATCATCATCAATTTACATAGCACCAATTAAAAATAGAGAATTCTCTTATGAAGCCCATTTGATATTTTCTCTTTTATTCCTTTATTTAAGAGAGTTATATTAGGCTTTAGGGTATGTTAGTGATTGAGAGATCTCTATATTGTATTCCTCATAAATTATTAGTAAAATTATTCTCCTTGTTCGCCAGTGAACATAGGCTACAAGCTGACCCACGCATATACGTGTGTTAGTTGTGCTCTCGATAGTTTTCTAATATCGTATTTGCATGTGATTGATATTATAGTTTATCCTCAAGATCTGACATAATAATATATTTAATTGAGATTTACGCTTTAATTATCTTAAGACTTGATAGTAACATATACTGCCGTCTAATAAAATAATGCATAGCTATTATTTTAATTGCTACCATTCTATCGGAAGAACAAGTATGCAAAATACGATTTGGTTAGTCCTTACCAAATACTCATGATTCGTGCGCCAAAATAATTTTTCCTCTTGAATCAGTACGGAAATACCTTTGAAATCTAGTAATTAGAAAATAACTTCAGTACTGACGTAATGAATCGTCCTATTCAAAAGTCTTCTTGTGTCTAGTACGAGAGAGAGAGTCACATAAATTATTTTGGGAAAATTGTGTCAATGCCCCAAAAGTAAAATCCTTATGTGTTGTAGCCTCTTTATTTTTTTCCCATATGATTCAGCTTCAAGAAATGTCACATCATGTGCTACAGTCCTTTTTACATGTAATTATCATGTTAATTAAGCACAAAGAGAGAGAAACAAACATAAAAGTCCAAAATACTCTCATTTTCTTTTCTCTCTTCCGTTTGGCGGGTTAAGAAGGGGTTAATTCTCCTTAACCCTTCACTTAACCATTTGCGAAACGGTACCTTAGGGCATGCACGAGGTTGGGGGAGAGATCTGTTTATCCATATTAATTTCTAGTGGGCCCCATCACCACTCGAATTTAGCATGAGAGAAGGTGAGGCCCCCACGAGATATTGGATAAGGAGTTCTTAGATGTGTGGCTAGGATTTGAGGGAGGGCTTGATCATGGCCTCTGATACTATGATAAGTATTGAGAGATTTGAGAGAATTTGATTTTAATGTTTATTCTGCTGGAATGTTTACATACAAGAGAAAGTAGAGAGGTTTTGATAACCTAAACGGTGTGGGACTAAACTAAAGCAAAAATAAGATAGCCTAACTACTATATTTGACAAGCCTAACATCTGTTGCTTAAGACTTAGAGCCTGTTTGTTTCCATGCATTCTGCATTCTTCACAAGTTAAAGATCATGGACTTTTAGCAAATTAAATGTATTATTTGTTTGTTATTTTTTAAAAACAGATTTAGAGTTGCCACATTAGATAAGTAGTGCAAACAAAATTCCCTAAAATTATCATGAATTTTCCCAGATTTGTGAATTAGTCACATATCCTCAATAAAATTCATGTGTAACAAAATAAAATTTGTTTGGATTTTATACTTAATGTAAATCCTCTTTACTATCCATTACAAACAAACATGATTTAATTACAGATTTTTCATGCATCTAGATCAATCCATAAAGCAAACTGCCTCTTAAAAATTAGGCTTTAGGGCCTGGTCATGATAGCTCTTAGGGCCCATTTACATGGGCTAAATAATTTGCAAGTAGGTTGACGGGGCGTATGGTCCCCTTCAGCCCCTCTTATCCTCCGTCAACGCTAATCTGTAAAGCTAAAAGTAATAAAATAAAAAAGAAAAGAAGGAAATACAGGATATTGTACTCTTTTCCCATATAATGCTCTTCATTTTATCATAAATTTTGACTTGTATATAATTCAAGCTTATAAATATTTTTTTTATATTTTTGTTGGTTATGAGAATATTCCATTCATATAAGTTTAGTAGAATTTTAATGTTTAGAACTCATTATTTTATGAAATTAAAAATGAGTTTATGAAATTAAAAATGAGTTTATGAAATTAAAAAAATTATGTAAACTTGCCAGAGTTTAAAAGGGTTTGGTGGGATTAAGCCAAAAGCAACTTCAAGCTAACCTTGAACGTCCTTCATTAATCTAAGGAATGACATCTTGCATGATGTCATTCGCATGAATTATTAGTTCGTATTGTCCTCCCACTTCAAGTTGATTGATAAGTTTGATGGTTGTTTTCTTATTTATTTATTTATTGTTTTGTTTTGTTATTGAAGGAGACATCCACATATTTAACTAGCTAGGTGTCCATCTTAAAGCCCAATCACGTGTTGCTAGAAGAGAAATAACTTGCCAAGTGACGAAACTTGTGAGTTTGGCGTTTTCCCAACTCATTTCTACATGTCCATTTATCAATTTTGGATCCTCTTTGCTATTAAAAATATAGTGGAGATATTATTATATTAATTATAGTTACTAATTTATTTAGTGCATGATTACAAATCATTCTAAATTTAATACTCATCATATTTTTTTATTTGCACTTATTTCCTGATTTATACTCAAAAACATGTCACAACCAACAACTAAGCAAATTAATGGTTATGATATAACGATGGTCTCCCACTATATCGACCACCTTGTCTGTTTGCTGCAGCAAATTACTGTACCATGAACAGTAAATCAAATCACCCACTATATTTTTGAAGTTACCGTTTATTCTAGAGTATTTTATTTTACCATAAACAGTAAATCAAATCAAATGTATTAAAACTTTGATCCTCCTCTAAGTATGAATGAGTATATATATGATTTCTAAATCAAATGTATTAAAACTTGGATCATCCTTTAAGTATAGAGGAAGGGATATAATTTCTAATTTTATGCATACAATAATCAAATTAAATATATTAAAACTTGGAAGGAGGTAAGTTCAAAATAAAACATTTAAAAAAATAAAAGGTCAATGTTTTGCACGGGGAACACTGATCATTATAATTACAGGTGACGGTAATTTAGTCCGAAAGCTATCTCTGTCTTCTTTTTCAAGCCTAGAAGCGAGTGATGAACTCATTTTCCTCCCTTCTTGTTTATCTATCTCAGAAGCCTATCTTGGGTCCTTGGCTCCACCGTCGACGAGTTCTATGCTCATTCGAACGTGTTCACTTAGAATATCCAACTTCTTTTTAAATCGACGACCTCTTCGAGGAGAAAAGATATTAACATAGAAAGTCAAGGCGGTTAACATAAAACGGCATGCAACATTTATTGAAAGCCCACGATTTTATATAGCTACCTACAAGTCTAGAGGGTCACAAATCTATCAACGTAAATAAAAAGTCATTTTTTTGGTAATATAGTTGTTGTTAAATGTAGAGCAAAGAAAAGAATATCTATCTTTATTGATATTACTGTCTATATACACAATGTGAATAGAATTATTCTGCTACTTTATTCAATGTGGGACTAAACAAAAGTAATATATGCAATATTTAACACCCCTTCGAACTGCAATTGGGTGGACTAATGGCAGCTTGCCAAGAGATGAGGGAGTCACCTAGAAATATATAATACCCAATAGTGGATCGTCGGTCTGTAGTGTCGCCTACGCACTGTGCATCACTGTTGGCATGGAGAGTGAGTGATGATGAAGCTGAAAAGAAAAGCACCCTGCTTGGAGTCTCGCGAAGGTAGTGTAGAACACGAAGTAGTGCAGCTTGGTGAGAGGAACGTGGAGTGGCAACAAACTGACTGAGCACACGAACGACATGTGAAATATCGGATCTAGTGATGGTGAGGTATACTAGATTTCCTACGAGATGTCAATATTATGTGGCATCAGGTAGTGGGTC